GGGGGGTGGGGGGGCATCCGTCTGCGTGGGGAGGGGGGGTGGTGTTGGCGTCTGTTAGCCCTAACGCTGGTATTTCAGTAATGCGGTGGTGTTTGGCCATGCTGCCAAAACCGAGCTATAAGCAGTGAGTCTTTGCTCCACTTTTCCTCGCTCCGTTTCTCCGCTCCACCCCGTCCGTGCTCCCCGCGCTGCTGAGATCAGCTTCCTGCTTTTCATTTTCCTCAAAACGCTGCTACTCCTCCCCTGAAAGAGTTATTTTCATCGGTCTGGAGTTAATTTTTATGGGTGGCTGCAGGCTCTTTTTCTGACAGGCTAACATGCTGAGCTGGGAAAGCGGTATCATGGTGATTTTGTTCTGTTGCAGCGACCCAGAGCTGTAGGCAGAATGGTAGACTGCTGCACCGAAAACATTTCTGTGCCAGCTCTGTGACCGTGGAAGGCGAAGGAGGTGAGTGCCGGTTTTACGTCGCGTAGGTCCAGGGAGTTGTTGGAGGTGGAACCAAGAGTCACAACCTACAGCCAGCTGAAAAACAAGAAACAAGCAATTATGTTGTTACGCGCTCTGATTAGATGCTTTTGCTCCTACTAATCCTGTAATGGAGTATATTCAGGAAATGATGGATTTTGCTGTAGCAAAGAAATGTAGTCAATGAAAGTTTATAGAGCGTAAATTTGTTCTTCTTTCACTGAAATGTGTAGATAGATATGGCACAAATACAGCCATAAAGGACAGATGATAAAGGTAAGGTTCACTCCATACAACTTGCAATAGAAAACCCACTCAGATAGGTAGTTTCAGAACTTTTAGAAGGATTGAATAATGCCAGAAAGAGACTTTACAGTGATTTAGTAATAACTGTGGATCTAGAATAATATGATGTATATGAGGAAATGATGTGATTTTTGTAACATGTGGAAATAAAATTATACACAGGAAAAAAAAAAAAGAAAAAAAACAAAATTCTTTTTACAGTTGCATAGCATCCCTCAGGATGGAAGCCAGGTTGGCTGTGAGAAAGCAGATTGTTTGGAAGAATATCTCAGTTGCAACAAATGGGCAACTTGTATAGAAATGTGTCTTCTCACATAGTTGTGATGTTTTGGTTTTTTTTTTTAAATTTTTAATTTTTTTTTAAATTATTTTTCTTTATGGAGTGAAGAATGTAAATACCACAGGTGTTGTGATGTTTTGGGGTGTTTTTTTTAAATTTTTAATTTTTTTTTTTAATTATTTTTCTTTATGGAGTGAAGAATGTAAATACCACACGTTCATTAAACAACTTTCAGCTTCTTAAACAGTGGAGCATCATTCTCTGTATGCCTTCTAATGGAGCTCTAAAGTCATTAATCTGTAAATAGTGGTAGGTTGCTAGTTAGTTTATGTTGTGGTATCTTTCTTTTGCTGCCTTCTCGTTACTGCCAGTTAACAATCAGATTAATGGGCCGACTTTGTTCATTCTGATTGTGGTGCACTGAGTGATTTTGCAGAGGACTCTTCGTAAGAAGCCACTCAGAAAGCGTAGCTGTGGTGGGCCAGCCGGGTGTTGGATGCTGCCGTTGCAGCTACAAGGCACTGCCAACTGGTCTGAGCTGCTCCCCAGGTGACAAGGGACAATAGGAAGAAATCAGTGACCTGGTTCAGGATCACAGGAGATGTGATGCGTCCCAAGCTCTGAGGCCTGACCAGAATTGCTTGTGCTCTTGATCCAGACCAGAGCGCACGCTTTGAGTAGCTGTTCTCTGTGATGCTGAGTTGAATTTATTGGTTCTGCTATAAAATTAAACAAATTTAGTCTTCGATTAGTTGTGGGAGTGGGGGATGCTTCTCTACAGCAAAGTTGCTCCGTAACTGTCCTGAAAGCAGTTCCAGGAAAACTTCTATTTCCAAGTTTGATGAATTATGATGGAAAATGGGAGAGGTACGGTGAACCATCAAACCCAAACTGGGGTTTGATTTGTGGTAACATTTTTGGGCATGACTGACTTTCCTTTTTTTCCTTGGTGGAAATTAGCAGTGCTTCTTTTGGTTGCAGGGCACGTAGGAGCATATTTTCTTAAGAGTGGGTTGTATTACTGGGCCACACTTACCACTTGTAATCAAACAGCTTTGTAGATAAACGTGTAAGGTCAAAAGAAAAACAACAAACCACTTTTCTTGCCTAGTCTGTGGTAGTGGTGGAAGAGTATTGTATAGGAAGTAATAATGAAACTTCCAGTTATGTATGGCCCTGCATCTTTTGTATTTGGTTTCAGGCACTGGGTATACTACGCTGCATTTTTTTTGCCTCCATGCAATCTGTAAATTTATTGCTGCTAAATCTATTTCTTGCTATAGACTTGTGCTCAAGAAATTAACCCCATGTTATGTTATTACTTTGATGGATAAAACCATAGTTAAACACATTTTATGTGCTGTTCGTATCAGTATGTTAGCAAGATGATGCCCATTTGCCTCAGTTTGTGGATTCTAAAGATAATTCTAAATGCTAATGTTTCCACAAGAAATTTGTGAGAAATCTGCTTATCCGATAGATGCAAATATATTTCCTATGTAGGCCCAAGTACCCAACTCTTCTTTGCCAAAATCACTACCTTTTTACTCACATTCTGCCAGTAGAGAAACTCTGCAGCACTGAGAACACAGGCATTATGTTAAGCATCAGGCCCGACAGCTGCTGGACTTCCATGCTGGTTTACTAATTTTGTACTTATTTTCAAAATTTTCATTCTGATTGATAGGAGACTGCTGTAAAAAATCGAACCTGTATCAGTACAGTCAAGGGTTCCTACCAGTGGCTCTACATTTTGTGCTTATAACTCATTTGTCAGCCTTGCTGACAGGTAGGGTCAAAGAATTTTCTACTTATCTGTCACATTTTGGCAACCTGATCTTCTGTTAACTTGTGGAAGTTTATTAATTTATTTTGGAGTGCACTGAAGGGGTTTGGAAGTTGGATCCTTCCTTGTTGGAGAGATTGTAAGGGTATTAATAAGTGCTCTTTGTACGCATGAAGAGAAGAGTGAAGGGTGTGGCTCCCACAGTCTTTTTTCACCTTCAGTTCACTACATGTATAATGCTGACCCCATCTTCAACATAGATGGAAGATACAATACATTCTTTGAACTACAGCTCTCTGACAAAGAAGTGAATAGGACTTATTTGACAGAGGTAATAGCAAAGCACCATGTTTAAATGGCAGCACTGTCACCTCTGAAAGAAACAGGCCCAGCCTTAGACGCTTGCATCCTGCCCCGTGGGGCTGTACTAGTGTTTTTCCAGTTGTGTAATGAACTGCACTGGAGGACTGATCATAGCTAATATTAATAGGTTTTATTAGCTTAACTTTTTCTGTCCATTAAAGATAGTGGATCCATTGGGTTGATCATATATTGTGTCACAAATCAGACCAGAGAACTGAAAAGCTCTGTTGCCTTCAAAAAAAGGGTCAAGGAACATGGGGAATAGAAGCAGGAGAGGGGAGAGGGCTGCTTTTGGCTTCAGAGCTGGCTTATGCTCTCTTACTGCTTGTCAAGCTAGAGCCTTAAGGGCAAGCTAAGTAAAATGCAAGAGAAGGAGGCTGTATCTCCAGAAATAGACCACTATTGTCAATATTTCTTCTACTGGGGACATATATGTATCTTTTAAATGTGATTTTGCAGTCTGGATAGTTTCCAGGACAGATAGCATAAGTTATTTACTGATGCTGAAGATAACGTCTCAACTGTGATGTTGCTTTTATCTTTCTCCTGTGATCCTTTCTGAAGTAGGTGCTGCCTTGCTTAGCTTTCCTTCGTGTGACCCAGCATAGCATGCTACATGTCGGTCTGCTCTTAAAAGTTGCATGGGACTTTCAGTGTGTGTGTTTGATTAAGTGTTTTTAGCAAGGTAGCTCTGTCTGGATTGCTGAATACCAATTTACTACAGATTCAAGGTGCTGGTAAAATTTAAGCCCAGAGTTGGTGCTGTAAACTGCTCATATGATCAGTTACTCTGAGATTTTGACTAGTGGTGGAATGTCTCTAAAAGAGAAGGTAGCTGCTTCTCCAGTGGCCTGTAAGAAAAGTACATATCTGTGGCCAGTACTACAGTATTTTTGTTTGTTTTTTAAATAGCAGGGTGAATGTTGTTGCTTGTGTGTGATTTGTGGAGCTCAGGAAGTTTTTGTTAGTGGTTTTCAGGCTTTTGTTATGTGTGTTAGGTGTTGGCAAAAAGCAGCAATAAATATTTCTACATGAATTCCCTGGGGCTGTGTTTTGGCTAGGGTAGTCAAATGTTACATCCCAAGATAAAGATCCAATTTTGAGATTTGCTAGTGTAGACCCGTGCATTTGTTCAGGGCCTTGTTAACCTCTGTGAGCCTCTATGCAAGTACAGAAATCCATGCTAGTGGATTTTGACAATGGATTAAAGGATCGGTGTTTGCTTTGCTTGGAAGTTGTTCAGATAGTAAAGAGTTGAAAACATCATCTCTACTCCTCTTGCCCTACCAAAGTAAACTGAAAACCCATAGCAAAATGTTGCACATTGACTCTTCGGATTTTTGAGTAATACTTTTTAGAGTATAGAATCATAGAATGGTTTGGGTTGGAAGGGACTTTACAGATCATCTAGTTCCAGCCCCCCTGCCATGGGCAGGAACACCTTCCACTAAAGCAGATTCCTCAAAGCCCCATTCAGCCTGGCCTTGAACACTTCCAGTGAGGGGGCATCCATGACTTCTCTGGGCAACCTGTTCCAGCACCTCACCACCCTCATAGTGAAGAAAGGCTAATGGAAAGGGTAGCTTAAGCTACAAAAAGGTGCTGTCCAATGAAAACGTTATACACAACAAAAATTGTATTTTGGGAGAGGAACAAAAAGAATGGTAGTTTCAGGATTAGAAAGAAAACTTTTAAAATGTTCTTATCAAGTTTGCACAGCATGAAATTCAGTTGGCTTTAATAAAGTTGGCGGACTGAAAGAACTGCCTAGAATCCCAGGCATTAAAAAAAGAAAAAAAATGGTAGTTTGGTTTGATTAGATCTTTCTTTTGGAGGGAAAAATAAGTGTCTCTCCTCTTCCTGTAAGTGGAGAAGCTAGTTAGAGTAAATCACAAGAATAATGCGTTCCTTGTTAGGCAAATTACAGGAAAATACAAGGGACCAAACACCTCCAGAGTTGATGCAGCTGGGTCATGATCATGGTTCTGTAAGTACACAGCTTCTGCTGGAGTTACTGCCCCTGTTGCAGCACCTTCTAACAGTCTGTGTCCACCCTCCACGCGGATGTGTTGTAATGGCAGCAGCGTTCTCCATGGACTTCTGTCCGGGATGGTACTGGGAGAGCCTCACTGGGAAGCTGTCACAGCTGTGGAGGGATGGTGCAGGGAGCTGGTGTTGTGTGCTGTCTCAGGACATAGCCTACCCTGATGGCCAGCCAACCTGAGTTGAACCCTAGCAGCATCTGAA